TTTTTCTACTCTGTCTTCTAATTCACTGATCTGGTCCTCAGCTTTCTATACTCTGCTGGTTAGTCCTTCCAATAGGTTCTTAATTTCTGCTATGTCATTCTTTATTTCCATTTGGTTGGTTTTCAATGTTTCTATATCTTTACTCATGGTGCTGATGTCCTTACTCATGCTGTTGAGCTTCCTCAAGATCATGGCTCTGAACTCTACCTCTGATAATTTGCTTAACTGCATTTCATTTATCTCATCTTTGACAGACTTCTCTTGTTTTTTCATTTGAGATTTGTTTCTTTGTTTCACCATTTTGGCTATCTCAGTGGGTTTTGGAGCCTGCCAAATTTTCCCTGTGGGTGTTGGTGTTCTGCTGTTTGTGGCTCCCTCTACTGGGTTTGAATGAGCCTGGGTGGGCCCACGTCAAACACCACTGTCAAGTCTTACTTTTCTGGGTAAATTTGCAAGCCCAGGAAAGGTTCAGCTATCCTGTAGCTTTTTTCCTGGAGGCTAGTAGTCTCAGTTACTCAGGGCCTTGGAATGTAGCCCTGGTGTTCTGCATAAGAGGATTTCCAGAGGGTGGGATAGAGGCTGGTTGTTAATGAGCCTCAATTTGCATTTCTTTGCCTCACCTGGAAAAGGCTGAATCTCCGAGGGAGGGGCTGCTGCTTTTCCCCACAGCTCTGGGAAGGAGCACACTGGCCACTGTCCTTTGTGACCGCAACTTAACAAAAACTCTGAGTGCCCTCCAAATCCTGGGTGTCTCCAGAGTTCCAGCCCAGTCTGCCCTTCCTCTGCCAGAGCCCCAGGTGAGTGGCTGGGGCTACTTTAGCACTCTGTCCTGGCTCTCTGCGCTGTGGAGCAGGCTTGGTCTTTATTCCCCAAGGGCGCTGCTCACAGCTCAGACTGCTGCTGTCCGTGGGCTCCCAGCCCACCACCCTCTCACGCCTCCGCAGATCCTCCCAGTGTCCCTGGTTATATGGTCCTGTCCCGCTGCTTTTCTGTTGCTTTTTCCCAAAGATGTGTCTTTATTTTAGTTGTAATTCCCTTTGGTCCTGGGAGATCGTCTGTGTAGATTCCATTCACTCCGCCGCCATTGTCACATCCTCACAATTCAGTTCTCTACTGTATGTCTCTGGTGCCTTTCAAGATGCCTCCCCCATGCTGGAGTCTGGAGGGTGTGAATCTGAGTAAGTCTGTGTGCAGGCCCTTTAAGAGGAGCTGCTGGGGCTCCAGAAGCCTCAGCCTCCCTCAGCCTTAGTTCCCACTGGTTTTACAGTCAGAAGTGATGGGGATTTCTCTTCTTGGCACTGGAACCCTGAGCTGGGCTCCTAGTGTGGGACCAGGACCCTTCTCTCCTCAGGGAGGACCTTCCCAGTTGAGGTGTCCCTCCTGATTTTTATCCACACATGGGTGTGGGACCCGCCTGTCTCTGCCTCTGCCCCTCCTACCAGTCTCGATGTGGCTTCTTTAATTTCATAGTTGTAGGACTTCCATTAGTTCAATTTCAGGTGGTTCTGAAGGATAGCTGTTCTGTAGTTAGTTGTAATTTTGATGTGGTTGTGGGAGGAGGCGATACTGCGTTTACCTAAGCTGCCATCTTGACTGGAAGGCCTCTTAGGGAGTTTTTTTTAAATGTTAAAATGTTGTCTCTATTTAAAAGTCATAAATGTGCCCTGGCTGGTTTGGCTCAGCAGTTAGAGCATCGCCTCTCAGACCAATGAGTTGAGGGTTTGATTCCGGTCAAGGGCACCTCAGTTTCGGTTTGGTCCCGGACCTGGTCAGGGTCGTGTGGGAGGTAGCAAATGTGTCTCTTTCAGACTGATGTTTCTCTCTCTCTCCATCCCTCCCTCCCACTCTATCTGAAAATCAGTGGAAAAATATCCTCAGGTGAGGATTAAGAAAAAAAGTCATAAATGTGTTCTCATTAACCTGCCCCTCTCAGACTGTTTTGTATCCAGGGGAGTCTTAGATTAGTCAGTTAGGAATTGAAGTTGTTAGGGGAGGGGAAGACTCATCTGTGAGCTACAGGAAGAAGTCTTGGGAACAGTGGGAAAATGGTCCAGACGTGGGCAGTGGATGTGTGTCCAGGAAGGAATGCAGTTTGGTACCATGGTCAAGGGGGAGCAGGACAATTCTGATGGTCCCAGGTGTGTGTGCCTCTCCTTATCCATCTTGATTCTTGTGTGCTGGCATGTTTATAACTCCATAGTTGATGATTGGTAAATTATTGTGCAGACTTGTTTAAAGCTCCATAATTGGTGATTGGGAAAGTCACTGTGCCGTCTAGCTGAACCTGTTTTGTAAAGACCCCTGAACCAAGAAATTGTTGGGAGCCGGCTACATGTTTGACAGAGTCCATGGAGCCTGGAGGTCTTGAGTCAGAGACTCGACCTCCCCCACAGTCTCAAGGAATTAGGCTTGTATTGTGTCTGTGCAGCTCGTGACTAAATGTGACCTAATGCACCTTGAAATACCTGGGTGTTCCTGCGTGTTCCTGGGTGTGCCTGGGTGTTCCTGTTACCCGCAAAGCAAACTAATTCTATACAGCATTGTTGTAGCCCTGGGCATTATATCAAGAAGATCCTATTTTCTTATATCATTAAACTTTTGCTGTAAGGTATAAAAGGCATGTAATAAAGCATATCGAGGCTGATTCTGGAGACTCTGTTACAGGGGTGTTCAGAATCAGATGCTGGCTAATAAATGGCTCTTATTTGGATTTCAATTCTCTAGTCATCTTTCTTTGACTCTGTCATGCCACAACACTTAGAGCCTCAGCCAAGGAGGACTCTCAGTCTTGACCTAGTGCCTGCCCCAAGAGGACATGAAGTTAGCTAATGCCTGGATCCCCTCCTAACCCAATCAGTTCCTGATAGCTGGTTCCCATTCAGGAAGGTCCTCTGTACTTCAGGTACTAACTAGATAGACATTCACAGTGATCATACAGCTGTTTATGGCATTTACTCACCCTAGGCTCAAAGATCTACTTCTGTGAGTGTGGAAGATGCTTCCTCTCTTAAGTCCTCACCAGGAGACACCTGCTGGTTTCCTACAGTTAACCTTCTTGTAGTTCTGAACTCTGAACTCTGAACTCTGGGACTGTCTTCCCACGATGTCATGTTGGTTGGGGGCAATAGTAGGTACAGACAGTAGTGGGTCTGGACATGATGACACATATTTGGCAGGGGCTGCGAAACACCAACTGAATGTGCTCATTTTCACAAGGTCAATGGGGTCTCCCAAAGATCAAGGGACAAGATTTTCTGTGAAGTCTGGGATGTTTCAGCCCTTGATTTGCCTTTTTCTGACTCTGTAACCTTGTACAAGTCATTCACGTGTACCCCAAGGCTTAGCACCCTCATGTGTGGAGTGAAAGGGTTGGGCTAGCCCTGTAGGATCTCAAACAATACTGACATCTTAATTTTTATTTGAAGGGAAACCTTCACCATTCTGGATAGCCCTGTTTTTCTTCCTTCTTGCCTTTAGTGTTTCATAAATCTTATCTGTGTTAACAATCTCAACATCCTTAGTCCCTTTCTCTTCTTTCTTCCTCTAAATCAGTCTTCTTTCTCCAAAACTATGGCTCTCACCCAAAGCATGAACAATCTTTTCACATGTAATGCCAATGACCTTTCTCTATCCCTACTTCCTCGAGCCTTTCAGCTATGAGCACTCTGGACCAGTTTGTCCTTCCTCCTTCACTTCCTTTTTGTCATCTCTATCATCCTCTTGCTCTGAGGACAGATAAGAGGCCAGTATGACTGGTTGCAAGTGAGCAAAGAGGAGTGGAGATGACTTGCGTATCCGTCAGCTTCCTGGACACTCTCTCGGGGTCTTTCAGGCACTTCTGTGCAGTGTGGCCACCGCACAATCGTCCTGCTGAAATCAACTCATCCTCCCACATTTACAGTTACCTTTGGGATCCCCAACCTGGGACATGGACAGGAGCCCCACCTGCTCCCTCATCTACACCCATCCAGGCCCACTTCCTGAACACCTCTCAAATCCACCACTTTTACTTGTGTGGTTACCTTGTGTGTCATCATCATCTCTGCCCGGCATGTTACATCTGCCCCTAACGTCCTGCCCACCCATTCTACAGACCCCAGAGCAGTCCCTCTGAAATCCACATCCATCTGAACATCTCTCGGTCCTGCTGAAAACCGTTAGGATCTCCGCTGTAAGGTCCAAACTCTGTTCTATGGCCCAACCACTCAGGCCAGGGCTTCTTCCAAATTATGAGCCCTCAAGTGATGGTGAAGAATGACAAGGCCCCTGTGCAGACAAGGAGCGATTTTATTTGGTGAGGAACGTAGAATGTGGTGGGAAAGGAGGGGGGCAGTTTCCTTGGAGAGAAGGCTGCTCTGGTTCCCAAACAGTGTCCAGGACATGAGCAGCCTTCTGTGAGTCCTCAGAAGCTGGACAGGGAGTGGACTGAGCAGCAGAAAATGGTTCTGTTGGGAGAAGACCCCGATCAGAATGGGGACTCGAAGTCACTGACTCTTGTTGGTACTGGCCCATCATCAAACCCTCCAGAGAGAGGAAGGAGGCTGACACCTTGGGGCTAGGGGTCTTGTCTCAGCCACAAGGGGAGCCCAGGCCTGGGGTCAGGGGGCTCCTTGTGCATGCGTTCAAGTGAGTGTGTGTCTGTGTATCCATGGGCACTTGTGCATAGTGAGTTTGTTTGCAAATGTGTGCGCATGTGCGAGTGTGCTGGTGTAACAGTGTGTGTCTGTCTGAGTGAACTCGTGTTTGGGCGTGTGTGTGTGCACCCATGACCATGCGTGTTTCTGTTTCTGACTATGTTGTGCTGCCACCTGTGTCTCTCCACATATCAGCATTTCTGTGGACTTCTCTGTGCACATCTGTGCTTGTCAATGTGGCTGTTTGTCTCTCTTTGGATGTTACTGTCGCAGCCTCTACAAGGGGAAGAGGAGTAGCCCCCAAACCCTGGGGAGGTGGGAGCAGCACTCACAGCTCAGCAGGGGCCAGGTCCCTTTCTGGAAGGCTTAGAACTTGGTGACAAATTGCAGCCCATGGATCAGTTTGTCTGGAAAATGAAAAGACAACCACTGCAGACCTGAGTGATGGTCTCAGTGTGAAGGAATCTGGAATACCCCACATTTCCCCTGAGGCCCGGGGCCGGGAATGGGAACTCTGGAGGTCTGACCAAGGCCGGGCTTGGCAGGGGCAATGCCTCCGTCCACCAACCAGCCCAGCTGTTCTGTGTCAGGGCTGATGGGGGGAGACAGGGTCTATACCTTGACATTATAATTCAAGGCAAAAGGAAACTGGAAATGGAGAGAGTTGTGGCTAGAGGGATCTATGTGTTCCGGGAGTGCAGTGCTCCTGGGGGCGAGCACCGGTGCTGCAGGGGGGTGAGAGGGATTGGGGGCAGGTACTTACGCGTGATGGCATGCACCAGTGTTATGTCCAATCCCTCGAGAATCTTATTGAACAGAGGGCACACCTGATCCAGGGGCAGAGAGGGGAGTTACCCTGGGAGCAGCAGCATTTTAGGATGAATTCTCTGGGGCAGATTTTCTATCATTTCTCTGTGTCTGAGAGTGTTTGTTTCTGAGCATTTCCACAGGTAAATGTTCACACTTCCCCTGGGCAGAAGGAGAAGCTGAAGGCACGTGTGGAAAGTGCCCAATCGCACAGCGAGCCAGTGTTCACTCTGGGACACAACAGCGATCCCTAAGGAGGTGGACTGCTCTGGGAAGAGTGCATTTCTGGCTAGAGGAGGCATCCAAGCACAGGCTGTAAGAGCACTGGTCTGCAGCCATTGTTGGGGTGGACTGGAAGCTTATCTAGGCAAGGCCAATCCATTGTAGCTGTAGGGTGGACATACTCAGGGCCTGGCCCAGGGCAAGAACCAATCAATTCATTTGAAGGATGGAAAGAAGAAACTGGAAAGATGGATCAATGGACAAATAGACATGGATCAAATTTACTTATCAAACTGATGGGCTCAGAAAAGAGCATCCCAGGGGCCTCTTTCAGCCTGAGAAACTAAGACCCAAGGACTAGGAGCACCACTTTTACCCACTTACCCTGTCCTGCACCAGCTCAGGAAGGACTTTAGTCAAGACCCCACTGAACTCGTCAACTAGGTTTTGAATGGGGAGTAAACCAACTCTGAAAGAGAAAAGCCACAGGGTCTGGGGTTGGTGTGGAGAAGGTTTCGGAGGGGCCACTAGGCCCATCACAATCTCAGCATTAAGTAACTGAAACCAGTCCTTGACCATCCACACCCACATGCAGGCAAACACTAAGGGGACTGTCCAGAGGGAGTGATGGCCCACACAGAACACACAGAGTGGCACACATAGAGTAAACGCAGTCCCAGTATATAGCAAGAGCCCAGTGAGACTTTGTAGAACCCACAAATGAAACAGCTTGGTGTGTCGCTGTCATGAGGATTCATGAGATGACACACGTGGAGCACACGTGTGCTCAGTACATGTTAGCATGATGGGGCGACTCCTGCTGCACTGTGCACGGCTGTCTTGTGACAGACAACCAGAATGAGTAACCCAGGTAGGTTCCGTAGTTATTTTGCCCCTCAGTAGGACAAAGCACATTCACACCTACTATCCTGGTGGGTTATCCGTCAATAACCCCAATGCAGCTTGATCTCACAGTTTGGGGAAGTACTGTCCAGGTTTACCCAGGAAGCCCTCCACCCCTCCCCATGACCTCTAGTAGATGGGGCTTGAACTCAGATTTCTTGTTGCCTGATCCAGCATAAAATTGGTAAGTCCAGCTTCAGAAGATGTAAGTCACTATTTACCCATCTATTTACTCATCCATCCATCCATCCATCCACCCACCCACTCATCCACCCATCCATCCACCCATCCCTCCGTCTTCCCTCCCTCCCATCAATCTTCCCATCCTTTCATTCTCCCACCCTCCATCCTCCCACTCATCCATTCTCCCATTGTCTATGTTTCCAACCATCTGTCCATCATCCTGGCCTGTTGTCTCTGGGCAGGTGAAGCCCCCGCTCTGGCCTTACCTATTAAGCAGTGAGATGTCCAGACTGCCAGGGCGGTGAGCGCAGTTGCCAACAACCAAGTGAGTCTCCCCCTGTTCATTTCTCACAGCTTTGACTTCTACTGTGTAGTTTAGCTTCACAGACAGCTTTAACACACTCCCGAGGGGCCTGCAGAGGAGACAGTGGCCCCACCACATTCCAAGGAAGAGGAGGCTTTTCTCCTTGCCAGGAACGCCAGCCTCACCTCACTCCATCTGGCCCATAGCTGAACTCATCTCATTTCCCAGTAGGGGAAACCAAGGCTCAAAGAGGTCAAGTGAGTTTCCCAAGTGACTCCAGGTCACTGAAGATAGCAGGAAACTAACTGAACTTGGAGATTTATGTCTGTTAGACTCCAACACCCCCTTTTTGGCCACCCATGGTCATTCAGCCTTGTTTGGTAAGCCACCCTCCCATTCCAGCTTGGGGCCCACTTACGTTTTCACATTAAGGACCAAGCCCAGAGGGATGGTGACATAGAGACGATGGCCATCGGGGCTCTGCTCAAGGCCAAGTTCCAGCATCTTGGTATTAGTGATCTGCAGACTGCCCAGGATATGAAGGGAGAAACATCAGTTCTTCTAGCTCCAAAAGTAGAAACCAGCTTTAGCCCAACTGTACCCATCCCAGAGGTGGAGCTCCCCATGAGGTGGGTAGGGAAGACAGAAGGGGCGTCTTTAGGCAAAACCACATGGGTTCTGCATTGCATCAGTTTTCCCAACCTCTGCACCGGGCCAGATGCTGACATACCCATGGCTCTCTCCTCAAGTCAAGTTTGTGAGGTATTCTAGGATAGAGACTGTATTCTGTCTGAATTATATTTGCATTCTGTATGCCAGTCCAGGGCCTTACAAAGAAAGGGGCTACTCCATCCATATTGGTTGACTTTGTGGATTGATGAGCAGGTGAGTACATGGATGTGTGAATGGATGCATGGAAGAGTAGGTGGTTAGATGGAAGGAAAGATGGACAAATGGATGGGTGGATGGGTAAGTGGATGAGTGGATGCTGTATGGGCAAGCAGAGTAAGTTTTTAATAAATATTTATGGGTAGGAATCGCTTGTCCTGCCATGACATTTGATGGCAGGTTAATTAACAGTGTTCATCATGGAGATTGAGGAGCAGGAAGTCAGGGAGAGAGGATAGCAGATGGAAGTGAGCCTCTTCTCTGAGTCAGCCCCTGTGCCAGGTGATTACATCGCTCTGTCCTCCCAACACTTTTTCTCTGTGGATACCATAATATTTACTTTGTAGATAGAGAAACTGAGTGGGACTAAGAAACCCAGAGAGATTGAGGGCCTGGTCCCAGGTCATCCGGTAAGTACATGGTGCATTTGGAAATCAAACTCAGGGTTATCTCTCTGTCTTCAAATCAGGGTTAAACCCCAGCATGGGTGGGAATCTTGGAAATGGCTTTAATCCAGCCTATCAAGGACCCAGGCTCTGCAGCTCATTGCATTACGTCTTCCATTATTCCTTCTTGCTTAGCAAGCTCTCGGATGTCTCGCAGGAAACACCGTATTAGATCATTCCATGGACATAATGTTGACGATGTAATTGAAGACAGTGATTTACAGTTTCTTGCTACCATTGACGGCCACCTGTGTTCTAAGGGATTCTGAAGGTGAGGACAGAATCACCACTGTGTGGTGGGGAAAACTGTGACTTTGGAACCGAGTGAATCAGAGGTGGAGCCTGTTCTGCATCTCTCCTGTCTCCCATCTGCAAAGTGAGGATTATTGAATTGCCCTCCAAGGGTTGTCATGAGGGTTACAGATGGTGCTGGGGACTCAGGATATGCCTCAGGACTGAGGGCAGTTACTGGTTCAAGAGGACTGGTGTTCCCTGCCAGACTGTGCGAAGGGTCTCAGACCGAGTCCTGGCCTCATGTTCAGACCACCCCTCCCTCTTCAGGGCCACTGCCTGGGGTCAACATATATCCAAAGGGACTTCTCTGGTGGGGACCAAGGTCCTACTTTAGGGCTACTCACTCAATGATGTCCGTCAGGAGAGAGACCCCTGAAGACACTTTCCCAAGCAGGCCACCAACCAGGCCACCAACCATGCCACCAGAAGTGCCAGCCTCCCCCTTCAGGCTGTCCAGCAGAGGAAGCTGTGTGAGATCATCCAACAGCCCTCCAGCGAGCAGGTTTCCGCTGAGAGCTGCAAATGGGTATGGGGCTCTTAGGGGTCAGATTTGACAATTTCAGATCCTCACCCCCTCTCCCTCATTCATCCCTGGCCACCCCCATGATTGGACACACACACACACACACACACACACACACCCCTAAAGGAGGCTGTCACAGACTCACTTACCAGTCTTCAAGTTTGTAATGAGATCTGAGACCGGCTGTGGATGCAGATCCCGGGGCAGGGTAATGGCATCAGGCAAGTATAGGCCTTCCAGCTGGGCCAGCAGCCCACAGAAGACAATGAGGCCCCCAGCTTGAAACATCTTCTCTCCTTGGTGTCTGTGGACAGAATGACAGGCCCACTGTGGCATGGATACCAGAGAGAAATTTATCCACCACCCACCCCGGCCCTCAGAACACCGGCAGAGGATAGCAATTGCTGACACTACTCAGAATTTCTTCTGTGCCAGGCATCAGGGTGAACTCTGCACACTCGGTACCTGTTTTCACCTTAACTGCACCCTAAGATGTGGCGCTAATTGTCTGCATTGCTCAGGTGAGGAAATGGGGGTCTAGTGAGTTTAGGTAACTTCCCCCAAGGTCAAAGTACACCTGAGGACAGGATTTCAAGTCAGATCTGTTGGACCCACAGGCTTCTGTTTCAATTAAGTGCCCATCAGATTTACTCTCTAATGGCGCTTGCTTGTAGTGGCTTCAATCATTGCCCCTAGTTCCTACTCTTTAAACAAAGCAAATAAAAAACTTAAACACGCTAGTGGCTGAGGAGCCAAACTGTTTCGCCACCATCCCTGTTAAGTCCTTTGGTCTGGGTTCAGCCTGCGATGCTGTGTGGAAGCCTTTGCAAGACACAAACCATCAGGGATCATATGGTCAGAGCTACCATCTCATCCAGACCAGTGTTGAGGAGATCTTGGGCCATTCAAAGTCTTCATTTCACAAGGAGAATCAGGGGACCAGAAAAGGTAGTGACAGTCTCAAGGTCACACAACAAATGGATAACAGAGCTGTGGTTGAAAGTAGGTCTCTGAACCTGCCCCCTCCACACACACACACACACACACACACACACACACACACACTTTTCTATGCCTGTCTCTTCTCCCTCTTTCCCCTCAGACTGACCTGGATGAACTTCTGGGGGACCCCTGCCATCTGTCTCCACTTTCACCAGTCTCCTCTCGATATCACCAACCCTCTCACAGACTCATTTAGCAGCTAGCAAAGGTGTCCAAAGCTGGACCTGGTCCCTATACTTTGGGGCCGCCTGGCTGCTTGAGGCAAAATTACACCCACTGGCCTATTGGGCCAAAGCAGCATCGTTGCTGTGGCCAACTGAAATTGAAAAGCTTTCGGTCCAAAGAGCCAGCTGTGGCCTCGCTGGGGAGTGGGCCCCCTGAATGGGGTCCTTTGGGAAACAGACCTTTTATGAATCCATGGAAGCTAAAGACCCTAGTTCCGGAAAAAAAAAATGCATCCAAATGTGTAAATTGGGTGGATTTTAGGAGGTTTGTGGATGATGGTCTGAATCCACTGCGGCAGCCACAAGTTGAAACTCGTGCCACAGAGATTTGACTTTGGGTACACAGGGTGAGCCTGTGAGAGAATTCGTGGTGCACACCTGCAGCCACACGCCTCCCCTCACCATCACATTCCCTGTGCCACATTCCCACATTCCTGTATCGACATTACTGGTTTCCAGGGAAGCGGAGTGAATGGCCATCCCCATGCCCCTAGAATAGCCAGCCCCGTTTCCTTTAGAAGACCCCCAATGAGTGATCCTAAGTGAAGTCAGCCAGTGCCCACCCCTCAGCAGAAAGCCTGGCACCCCTGCCAGCCGCTGCAGAGCGGGAGCCGACCGGGCAGGTCTCACCTGGGCTGCTCCGTTCCGGCGGCTGTCCGTCTCCGCAGCCCTCTACTGCTGGCCGCTGCGGAGGAGGCGCCTCTTTTATAGCGTGGCAAGAAGGAAACGTGCAACCGGATGATGGGTTTCTAGAGAATTCAAAATTCTGCAATCTGGTGGTGTCTTTCAGGGCTCTCCAAAGTAAATAATTGCCAGTTACATTAATAGGTGGGACAGTTAAGCCATTTGATCGACAAGTCAAACAGAGGAAAACCTGAGATAGGGATGTTATTCAAGACTTCATGGTTCCATGAGCAGCTGAGGCGGGGGACCCGCGCTCCAGGGTGACCTGGGAGATCAAATCTGGAACATGGGAGAAGGCAGCCAGCGAGCCCAGGAGGAGACTCAGTCTCATACATAGGACCTTTTCCATTCTAGGTCCAGCTCTTGTGCTCCGATTAGAGGGCTCTTGTTTCCAGAGTGCCAACAACAGTCAAATTGCTTCTGATTTCCCTCCATCTGTGGGCTCGCCATTCTTACCCTAACCCTGGAAGGGAGGGGTTGCTGCTCCCCCTTTGCAGAGGAGGAAACTGAGGCCCAGTGGAGATAAGTGCCCAAAGACAGCGACTCGTTGGAAAATAGTAACAATAAGGACGGTATCAACAGACAGCACTTGCCGAGCCCTTGCTGGGTGCTGGGACCAGACTGGTTTTCACAGGCAGCGTCTTGCGTATCCTCACAGCTCGCATGGAGTGGAATGAGGACTCCCACTTTCACGGGGAAACTGAGGCCCAGAGTGGGAGCTGACAGGTCCAGAGATGCACAGGGGACATGGGGCTGAGGCAGTCACACTCGTCCTTTCCCCGAGTCACCGTGCCGTACGTTCACTGTCTCCTGCTTTCCCACACCGTTGAGTCTCTGCTGTCATGAAATTTCAATCTTATATCCTGGGAAAGTCTTTGCAGGTCCCCAGGTCTGAGGGATGCTGTAGCATCCTGGTTTCTACCTTTACCCTTTCTTCCTCCCTTCCCTAAATGAAGTAATAAGGCACTTGTCCCCACAATTTGGGCCTTTGCCGCCTATTTTACAGAGGACAAAATGAGGCATGGAGATGTCAAGGTCTTAGACCAGTGAGCGCAGGTCCTGCCCTGCAAAACCTAACACTTTATTTTTAAATGTTTTATTATCACCCGAGGACATTTTGCATTTATCTTCAGACACAGTGGGAGGGAGAGAGGGAAGAAGAGAGAGAGAGAGATAGAAACATTGATGTGAGAGAGACACATCGACTGGTTACCACCCACACGACCCTAACTGTGGCCAGGGACAAACTGCAGCCGAGGTATGTGCCCTTATCAGGAACCGGAGCCGGGACTCAGGTCCGCGGGGCCGACACTCTAACCACTGAGCAAACCGGCCAGGGCAACACCTAACACTTTATAAGCAACAGAAAGAAAGGAGGAAATGCACGTTTGTTGAACACCTACTGTGCTGGGTGCTCTCCATATTTGAACTTCATCTTCCTCAGGAGTGGTTGGTATTATTGTCCCTCAAATATCAGATAAGGAGACTGAGGCTCAGAGAGGTGACTGCTTCCCAGGGACGTGCCGCGAATGGGTAGTGGAGTCCGAACTCGCCCCGTGTCGTCACTCCTGTCGTCAGTGAGCCACGCTGCTTGTCCTCATGACAGACCTTCCTGGGAGCTGCTCCCAGGTCCTGGGAGGGTTTGGCGATGCCTCTGAGGGGCCAGGGCTGTGGCTTTGAACTCAATTATCCATTCAAGCACTCCCTAGACTCTCCCAGAGCTTGTACGTTGCCAGTCATCCTCAAAGGGGTCCCATTTTTCGTTATGGGTTGAGTTAGGTTGCTACTGTCTTTGGGAGAAAACCAAGGCAGATACATCAAGGAACTGATTCAGTTTACACAGCCAGTTATGGGACAGGTAACGACCTCAGTTTGCTATGTGTCTGAGGCACAAAAGGGATGGATTTGGGCACAGGTTGCCCTGGTTTAAACCCTGTTAACCTGGGCAATTCACTCTAACCCCTCGAACTTCAGTTCACTCTCCTTCATTGATTTTTAGAGAGAGAAACATCAATGAGAGAGATCATCGATTGGCCGCCTCCTGCATGCCTCCCACTGGGGATCTGGCCCACAACCTGGGCTGGTGCCCTGACCGGGAATCAAACCGGGACCTCTTGGTGCATGGGTTAATGCTCGACCACTGAGCCACACCAGCTGGGCAGTTCACTCCCCTTTAAAGTGAGGGGATAATATCTACTTAGGGCTGTGGGGGGGTCATGTCTGGAGAGCTGGTAGAATCTCAGTTCACAAACTCATGTATCTATACAGTTTTCTTGCTAATGTATCTATAGTTTAGTACCATTTCAAATGCTATTTGCTGCATAACAGAAACTTCCCCTTGTTCCCCTGGGGTTTTATTTTGTTTTTGTTCCAGGGGTTTCATTTGTACCACGGCATGTGGAGGAGGCTGCCCTGCCTGTTTTGACTGGAAATACAGAAACATCCACGTGCCGTCTGGCCCCTGATCCCTGAGACATCGTGTGTCCCTCCTTCCAAAAGGCCCCTTTAGAGTTGGCATTCACTTAAGACTCCCCTGTTAGACACCCCAAATGGTTCTGCTGCTTCTCGATCCCGTGAGCCTCAGGCAGGACCATGCAGGCTGCCCAGCCCGTCTTCCCCTGGGGTCTTGTCATCTCCCCTGGCTCTGGAAGGGACATGGGCTCAGATGCCCTCTGTTCTTTTTTTTTTTTTTTTTTTTTTTATCCTCACCCGAGGACATTTTTCCAATTTTTGTACAGATAGAGTGGTAGGGAGAGAGAGAGAGAGAGAGAAACATCGACGTGAAAGGGACACATCGAGTGGCTGCCACCCGCACGACCAACCAGGGCCGGGGACAAACTGCAACCGAAGTACGTGCCCCTAGCGGGAACCGAACCCGGGTCTCTCAGGACCGCAGGCCGACGCTCTAACCGCTGAGCCAAACCGGCCAGGGCTGTTCTTGAATCCTGTGCATCAACCTGAGGTGTCTGCTGTCCTATGACAAGCTTTGCTTGGGAGGTCGCAAGGGCACAAGACACTTTCCAGAACCCACCAGAACTATGTTCACGATTTCTCCTGGACTCTCACACTCCACCAACCCAACATGGAGATTTTCTAGTCTTGGGGCAGGAAACCTGGTTTTAACTCATATGTGCTAATCTTGATGTCTCCTATGTCCAGAGTTTTGAAATGAAAAAGCCCAGGCTTACAAAAATATAAAAAAAATTAACCCACAGTAAAATTGGCTTTTTATCCTTTGGTGTGTAGTTCTAGAAACGGTAATGTACACGTAGCTTTGTCACCACCATCATAATCAGGAAATAGAGCAGTTCCATCACCCTCCAGACACCCTCACACTTCCCTGTGAGAGTCACCAGCCCTCTGGTGAGCACTGATCTGTCCTCTGTCACTACTGTTTTGTAAAGACCTGGTGCAGAAACCCAGGTTTCTGCCGACGTTGCCGCTCCTGGAAGCCGTGCAGGGTGCGGGCAGTGGAACATCAGGAATGTGGAAGGACACGCCGCTGACGTTCCAGGACTGCTTTCCACGTTGGTGACGTCAGTGCCTTCCCAACATGTTTCTCAAGAACTTTCGATGGTGCGCTTTCCTTCCTACATGTCTGATTGTGGTTGTGGTTGGGAGCCTTGAACGGTGGTGTTTTGTGAACCAAGAGATACATTTATTTTTGTTTAAAAATTGTTTTTCCTTTATTGATTTTAGAGAGAGAGGAAGAGAGAGGGAGAGAGATGGAAACATCAATGAGAGAGAACATTGATTGGCTGCCTCCTGCATGTCCCCCATTGGGGATCGGGCCCACAACCTGGGCATGTGTCCTGACTGGGAATCGAACCGGCGACCTCTTGGTCCGTGGGTCGAAGCTCAACCACTGAGCCACACCCGCCGGACCCAAGAGATCTGTTTTTCAAGGGCAGAGTTCATTTCTTCCAGGAGCGCTGAGGTACCCCAGGGCTATTCTCAGAACCCGGGAGTGGGACATTGGTTCTGTTCCCGCAGATCGGGTGGGGGCTGAGTCTGAGGGGAGCTTCAGATGGCCTTGAAGTCCAGTGGTTTGTGGAGGGGCAGAGGGCAAAGAGGATTCACGGAGAGCTAGGTGCCCCAACTTGGATGAGAAAAGATATTTTTGCTTAAGGCAAATTCCGCTTACTCTGGAGATCAATCTTCCTTCCTTTGACAGCTAATAATAGTAAAAGCTTTTCACAGGACACCAGAGCTTTGTGCCCTTCCAAACACACCCGTGGGGACTCGGAGGCTCAGGGAGGACAGCCAGCGGCCCAGGGTCCCCTCAGCGAGGCAGGAGTGGACTCAGACGGTCTCGGGGCTCTCTGCCTTTAGTGCTCATAACTTCCAGAGCAAGTTTGTGCCTCAGTCTTCAGAAAGTGCTGGAAAATCAGACAGCGCTGAGTTCCAAACCCGGCTCGGCTGATGACTCTGGGCAAGATGCTTCTCCTCTTCCAGCCTCAGTGCCCTCTCCTGCAACAGGGAGCTGGTGGCACCTGCCTCCTCGGGCGGTGGAGAGGGTTAAACGGGGGAAACAAACATAGCATGCAGCCCGATCCCTGGCACAGAGTCAGGACTCAGCAATGGAAGGGTGTGAAGTTATGGGGCACAGAGTTTCTGAGCATTTGGGGCTGAATTTCTGCTTAAATTTCTCCCCACCCAGACCCCAGTCTCATAACAGAGGTCCATTGTACAAACTCTGTTAGGAGAAAACAGAATGTACCCACGGCTCTGTGAACCTTAAAATGAAAACAACGCAAGAAACCCAAGAAGGCCACTTGAGGAAGGAGGTCCCTGAGCCACCCCTGGAAGGGTCAGGAGGAAGGCAGACAAAAGCTGCCTTCACCAAGGGGCCAGGCAGCCTCGTTTGCCCAGTCCTCCCATGTTTGCTCTTTGAATCATGAGAAGGAAGAACCCCACAATCTCAGGCTGCCAGGGGAATCACCGGTGTGAGTCTCTCTCCCCTGTTCTCGTTTCTCAGATGTTGACACTTCCTTATTTGAGCTTCTCAATCCAGCTGAACGCACATTTCAACACATTCCCCTTAGTGTGTGTGTGTGTGTGTGTGTGTTGGGGGGCGGTGTTAGAAGGGAGAGAAGATTGGAGGGGAATTGGCAGTGGTCAAGAGTGGGGGCTCCAGAGTCTGGCTGCCTGAATGAAGTCGACGTGGTCATTTCATCACTGTGTGGCTTCGGGCACATGGCTCTCTCTCTGAGCCTCTGTGTCCTTATGGGTAACAGAATAGTACTTCATGGGGATTTGATGGGATGCTGAATGTGAGCTCCTGTCACTAAGCTTGGCATGTGCCAAGGGCTTAATATGTGTGTGTTATTTCCCCTTGATTTCTCAGCAGGCTTTCCCTACCCTCAGGTGGAGGAGGGTGGGAATTTATATTTAAGAATTGAATAGTCATCAATCATATGATTGACAACGAATTAAATGACATTTAATAAGCATACCCTATGGACTTAGCATATGCTAACTAAATTGCAAGTGGCTTTAAAAATTTTTTATTGTTGAGAGTATTACAGATGTCCCCCCTTTTTTTCCCTTGCCCGCATCACCTGGCTCCCACGCCCCCTAGGCCTCCACCACCCTATTGTCTGTGTCAATGGGCAATGCATATATGGATATAAGTTTTTGTGTTTTTTTCACATACTTTGATAAACATCCTGCACGGTCAATATGTTTATTTAAATTTTTTTTTTTGTTAAAGTATAATCTACATAAGAAAAATGCATGTAGTGAACAGCTCAATGAATTGTCACAAACTGAGCACCCTACTCATAATCAGCACCCTTATCCAGAAACAGAACGGCGCCTCGCTGGAGCCCCTCCCAGTCGCTAACCCACTCCCCGGGGGTAACCAGTGTCTTGACCTCTGACAGCATGCATTAGTGGAGTTGTTTTGAGCTTCATGTAGGTGGAGATGCAGCATGAGCTTTTTGCATCTGGCTTTCTTAGGTGTGTGAGATGCGCGTGTGTGGCTGTGTGCCGTTGCAGGTCGTTTTCATTACTGTAGGGCGTTCTGTTGGGTGACTGCCCACCACATCTTCTGTTTAGGCACTCTCTTGATGGGCATTGAGGGAGTTTTCACTTTGGGGTCATTATGACCACTGCTGCCATGATCTTTACATGTCTTACAGCACCCACATGCGTGTTTCTATGTGCAGAGACCTCGGAGTGGAACTGCTGTGTCATGCGTTGCACTTTAGATGCTGCCGCCACCGGTTTTATAAAGTGGTGCTGCAACTTCCCTCCCACCAGCAGTGTGAAGGCTCCTGTTGCTCCCCATCCTGTAAGCCTCCTATTCCTGTTTCGCAGGTGAGGAAGACCAAGAGGTAAAGTGCCTTGTCCCAAACAGAGCTAGTGAGTCCGATGACCGGGATTCGCTCACTCATTTAACCTCAGATGTTGGCTGAACTTGCACTCTGTGCCAGCCCTCTGCTGGAGGGGGGGGGGTCATCTGTCACCTGCTGCACGTGGTCCATACCCTCACGGGACTTCTTGTTGGGCTGAATTGAATCTGAGCTCACATCTGTCCGATGCCAGCGTTTATGCTGTTCCGCTCTGTCACTTATTCTCTACACCCCCTTGGAGCTCAGCAAAGTGCTTGGCACCTAGTAGGTGCTCAATAAATATGGGTTCAATGAGGGAATGGGAATCTCAACAGGACCCTCCCTTTACTGATGAGCAAGCACATCTGTGGATAGTCTTCTGGCCAAAAAATACAGGAAAAGAGTGTTTTCTCTGGTATTTCTGGGCTGATGAGCAAACCCAGGTGTATTTAGTCTCAGGCTAAGCCTTCATCAGCCCTTTACTTCTGGAGCCCAAATTCAGGGCCCAGGCAGGGGACCTCTGCACCCTTTAGAGCTACACTTTATTACGGGGGAGGACAGGGTGTTCATGGGGCCTGTGGTAAGTTTTTAGGGGCACTGAAAGCCCCGCTCTAAGGGAGACTTAAGGTCACAAGATGTAGAATCTCCTTCCGATCATCAATAGGCAGCTGAATACGCAAGCCCGGCATGGGGAGGGTTGGCTGGACTCACAGGTGGTTGAGTTCATGAGCAGCAGGCTGTTCTGTAAGGAGCAGAGTTGGTGTCAGTCACCAGCTTGTCCGGCCTTCCAGCCCCCAGGTCCACAGTGAAGGAAGCTCACATCCCCCATGCCAACCAAGGGCCTGTGCCCAGGGCATTCCCATTACAACTCTTTCCAAATGAGATCTAATTATTTGCTTCTTGTTGTCTTCCATTTATTAGACTGTGAGCTCCATGAGGGCGGGTGCTGTATCTGTTTATCTGCAACTGGAGTGGGTGGTTTCAGGTTTGGGGAGGCGGTGCTCCCTAAAGGACTGAGTGGAGGAGCTACAATCTCTGGTAGTTTGGCGGTGTAGGTGACTTGGTGGAGCCCAGCCTGCTGGTAGGAGTGCCCTCTGCTGTCCTAGCTCTCTTGGGGCAAGTAACGTGGTCACCTCTAAGTGTTCTCAGAGCAGGTGCTGGCAAATCCTCCCTCAGCGGGCCTCCCTGGGAGCCCAGTGGGGCACCTCTTCCTGCCATTTGCCCACCTGAGTCCTCCCTGGATGGACGCGGACACTCACCCATGAGGCTTTTCAACAGCTTCACATCCAGCTGCCTGAGGATTTCACTGATCAGAGGACATACCTGGACCACCAGCACAGAGAGAAGGGTCAGATCAGGCACTGGGAAGAGAAACCTACAGGGCCTGTGCTTGGAAGCTTAATCGCCCCTGGATTTCCACATGGAATCATGATGAGAGTGTCTTAGCTTCCAGTATTGAGCGCCAACTGCATGCTCGGGGCCATGCACAGCACTTCCATGCCTGACCTCCCTGAATCCTTGTGACGTCTTTATGAAAAAGGGACTGTGATGGTTCCCATGATACAGATAGGGAAACTGAGGCGCAGGGAGTCTAAGTCACTTGCCCAAGGACACACAGCCAGTAGACAGCAACACCGAACATTTTAATTGAGACCTTTCAGATTTGAAAGCTCAAGGTTTGAAACTCTTTGCTCAACTGCCAATATGTACACCTGGACCCTCACACTGAAGGATGTCCAAGGCAAAAATATTTTTTCAAACTTACCTGATCTTCTATTAGGTGTGGGATAACTTTTTCCAGGTTTTGTCTAAAATTGCGGAGAAAATGTTTTATCTTTGGTGAGATATCTCTAGAAGAGAGGTAGATGTACAGAACAGATTAATGCAGGCAAAATAATACTGGGTGCAATGTACTGAGTATACCTTACACAGTCATCTAATATGCAGCCAGCCCTATACAAGCAGCAACATTGTCAGCAACAGTCAAAGGGGCAATTCAGAGAGGTGATGTGACTTATCCAAGGTCACACAACTGGAAACCATTGATTAGATTAGATCCAGGTCAGTAGAGCTCCAGAGTCCAGTCTTTTCCCTGCACTGTCTTCTCCATGAATGTCTGGCGTGATCTAGGCACTCAGTGAATGTCTGATGAATAAATGAATGGAAATCCACTGAGAACTTTGTTGCTTTCAGCATTCTGGAATCACAGAGAGAAATCAGACACAAATCTTGCCCTCGAGGGACCCAGAGTCTGTTGTGGTTGACAGGCTTGGTCAGCCAGTGTATAGATCTTCATTCAGCTCTGTTTTTTTCTGTCTTGTTCACTACTAATCCCTAGCATCAAGCATGCTGTGCCTGGCGAATAGTAGGATCTCTGTACATATTTGTTGAATAAATGAGTGAAGAGGAGGAGCTTTAGAGAGGGGAAGGGCATTCCAGCAAAAGGATCAGTGGTGTGAACATATATGGTGTGTTGATGGAGGGGCGGGTCCTTCAGAGACACTACAGAGCAAAGGGCTGCAGGGTGGGGCAGGGGAGAGGACATGTGGGGTCTTGGGTGAAATTCAGGAGTTTGCTCTTCATACAGAGGGCATTGGAGAACCATTAGAAGGTTTAGGGCAGAGGCTGGGGGACATGATCAGATTTCTGTGCTGGAAAGTGACCTCTGCTGCAGGAGGAGAATGGAGTGAAGGAGGCGAGGTACAGTCAGGGAAAGCTGGAGGAGGCTCCTGCAGTGGTCCAGGAGGCGGAGCATGAGCTGGCACAGTGAGGGATGGAGGGAAGGGAGCAGGTGGGGACTGCCAGGAAGTCACTGCTGGGAGCCGGTGAAGATGGGCTACAGAGAGTGAGGAGGAGGAAGAGTCTGGCTTCTTTCTGGGAAGGTGGCAGGGCCATCATTGGGAGGAGCTACAGAAGAAGGAACAGATCCTGGGAAAGGGTGAGATCTGTTTGGGGTTCATCCAGGAGGTGGTGGAGACATGTGGCCACAGCTAGGGCCAGTCAGGAAGGGGCGGGGAAGCTGGGACCTTACTCAGTTAGGACTGTTGTGCGGACACTCCTGGGCTCCACGCGGCAGCTGCCTATCACCAGATCCCTCCGGCCAAACTCGTCTTTCTCCAGCCAGAACTCCACAGCAAGGTTCATGCATGCGTGTGTCTTTGCGGTGTTGTTATTGAAGGGCCTCCTGGGAATGAGAGAGAGAGGAGGAGGAGGGAAAAGGGAAGGAGACAGAGAAAGAGCAGGTGGTGGAAACAACCAACAGGAAAGTGACTCTCTGTGTGGACAGCACTGTCCATACTCTGAGACCTTTTCAACAAACCAGCCCAGTGGGGCTCCATGTCTCCTGCATGTTAAATCCTGCAGTCAGGGATTAAGGAGAAAATGCTAGTAGCCAAGAGGGTTCTGAAGACCCTTTTAATAGACCAGATTAGGGACCACTGGAAATTCAAAGGTTGAAGTTTCATCTTATTTTTAATATTTTTACTGTTTAGCTGCAGCCTCCCTTTCCTTGGGGAGGATGTTAAAGGGTAGTTTGAACAGGAAAAGAGAAAGGTGATGAGACAGAGTACTTCTCTTTTTTAAATCAGTGTAGTGAACTCACATAGGTTTAACTGAGCAGATGACCTACCTCCATTGACCACTGATTGCCATCCACATTTCAGCTGAAGGAACCAAGGCTCAGAGACATGAAGTGACTTACCCAAGGTCACACAGCGAGTGAATTTGGAAACCAAGATTTGAAACCAGGTTGGGGTCAGAAAGACCTGGGTTCCACAGGTTGCCAAATCCACCCCCGTCCCCCGCCCAGCTCCCAGGTTCCCAGTGAGGAGGAGGAACGCCTCTTAGATCCCACTGCTGTGTGACTTACAGTTTCAAGTCAACGTCAAATTCAAGTGAGATGCTTGCTGAGAACCACTCCTTAGGGAAAGATATCTGGATCCTGCCATAGTCCAGCTGAATGTTGGTGATGTTGGCGCTACACAAGAAAAGAGCAGAGGTCCCCCAAGGGTGAGGGACCTTGGACATCAAGGTCTCGGCCTGACAGACAAGGCTAGCTGTCGATAAAAAAGACCCGGCAGTGCATATGGAGTCAGAGCCTTTCACAGATGCTCTGAGGGCAAGAACCACCCACAGGAGCCCTGGTGGCAAGCTGTCCCTGAGTGCTCTAACACTGCCACACTGCTGTGCTGATTTGTGTAACCTGCAGCCAGCTGCAGGCCCAGACCCCAGGCCTGTCCTCGCACCAAGCCTCCCCTCTCAGTAGATAGCCCTCCACCCACCCAGGTTGCCCAGGCCCAGACCCCAGGAACTGTCTTGGATTCTCTCCATCCCTCATTTCCACATTCAAACATCAGCAAGTCGTGTTGTTATCTCTGCTCGCAAAGTACATTGAGTTTGGCCACGTCCCACCACCCTGTCTCTTTCACCTGGTCCTGGTTAGCATCACTTCCTGTCCGGAGATACTCTGGTTCCTCTGGACTCCCAGCTGGGATCCCGGCCTCCCTCTAGACTGTTCTCCAGGTGACAGCCAAAGAGGCCTGTGTCTCCTCTCACTCAACATTCCCACTGGTTTCTCACTGCTCTTGGAATTAAGTCTGACCTCCACACCATGGCCCTTGCCCCTGCAGGCCTGGCCTCATCTGCCTCTTGCTCACCCAGCCACACAGGACTCTCTCTTTTTCTCAAACACACCAATTTCTTTCCTGCCTCGGGGCCTTTCCACTCATTGCTCCCCATGTCCCTCAGGTCACTTGCTTCTTCATTCAGGTTTCCACCTGAGGGTTACCTCTTTAGGCAGGTCCTCCTCACTCTCACCCTTTACCTTGATCAATTTGTCTTCATGCCATCTCCCTCCACTTGAAATCAGTTACTTACTTTTGTGGCCTCGCTCACTAGGATTAGGAGAAGCCAGTGACTGTATGTCTGGTTTATAGCTGTATTCTCAGTACCCAGCCCAGGTCCTGGCACACAGTAGGTGCTCAATATTTGTAACAGTTGTTTAAGGAATGAATGAGGGGAGGGGACTGTGGCTGCAACCGTCAAGGAAAACCCTGCTGGTGGGTAGTGGTGCTCACTGATCAGGAGAGAATGAGGGACTTGAGTCGGAGAGAAGGGAGTCCAGGGCACAGCAGGCTGGAACGGTGGTGCGTGGCTGAGCAGCTTTGAGACGGGGAGCTGGGGCAGCCCACATCCGTCAAGAGGAAGGAGTAAAAATGGAGGTGAAGACAGGCCCGGTTCTGCAGGGCTATACATCCACCACGTGCAGCAGAGAGAACTCCCCACCCCCAGCGTCAGGGACAATTATTATGCCCATTTCACTGATGAGGACTCAAGGCTGAAGCTCAGAGAGCTCACATGTCTTGCCCAGAGCCACACAGCTCTCAAGCAGTAGCGTGGGTTCAAGTGTCTGACTCTAGTCCTGGGTTCCTTTGGCACCTGAGACGTTTATCCAGGCTCTGTTATATTTGAGGCCAGAGTGGTCCAGCAACTGCCCCAAGGTTGGTGGCAGAGCCAGGATTTAAATGCAGAAATGTTTACTCCTACGCCTTCACTTCCAATTAACCTGCTAGGCTGTCTCCCCAAGTGCCTTTTGTATGGGGCCCCCACTCATCCTTGTATTGGGCCTTACATGTTCTCCTTCCCCTCGTCCTTCCTCCCCTCCTCCCAGTCCTTGCACTTCCATCCCCAGCTCTGCCCTCTGACCCATAGCTCTATAAAGAGTCCCAGGGCCAGGGATGGGGTTCAGGGTCTCACCTGCCTTCTTGTTGCTGCTGGAGCTTCACGCCACCACCAATTAGCCAGCTCACCATCCCTGTGGCCACCTGCCTTGATGCATTCAGACTGTCCAGGAGGCAGATGTTCTGAATTCGGCTCTCTGCATTGTATTTCATGAGGCCCTGGGTGATAACTGGAAATGGATAAGGGATCAGTGACCTTGCACAGTGTCATGGAAAAGGCAGAGGATTTGGAGTCAGGAGGCTGGAGTTGCAGCTGCCTATAAACAAAAGGTGTGTCTGGAGTCACAGATCTGGGCTCAAATCTCAGCTCTGTTAGCTCTCTGATTCTGTATTTCCGCATCTGTGTAATAGGGGCAGTATAATACCCATCTCATCGAATGCTTGTGAAGAATATTGAGAACATTTATCCAAAGAATATTTATTGAGCATCTGCTGGGTGTCACGCCCTGTGCTGGGCACTAAGGACACAAACAAGGTTTCTGTCTAGTAGGAGAGACATACATTAACCAAATAGTTTCAAAGATAGAGCGAAACAATGAGCATGCCTGAAACTTTTAGTCCTTCTTGGTTAATGATGATAGTAGCCCTTGGGAATTTGAGCAGCAGACATTAATAGTCAACAGTCCAGTATCTATCCAACCTCCATCTGTCTGTCTATCCAAAATCCATCTATTCATCTACCCATCCATCCCATCCATCCACCCTTCTGGCCGTTCAACCATCTTATCATTTCCATCTGAACTCTGTTTTTTTAAAAATATATTAATTAATTAATTAATTATTTTTATTAATTAATTTTTGTTACAGATGTTTCTCCTTTTCCCCCCACTAATTTTCCCCTTCCCCTCCCTCCCTGCCCTGTCTCCAGTTTGTTGTCCATGTCCACTGTTCATGTATACATGCATATAAGTTCCGTGGTTTATCTCTCCCCCACCACCCTGAACTCTGTTTTAATTCAGGCACTGCAGTATCTCTAATCTCTGGTCCAGATGAAGCTGTTGATCATCTGAGCCATTATTGCATGGTGACTCTTTCAGGTTCAGAGTTGGCATGTGACCCAAGTTGGTCCTATCAGACAAAACAGAAGATTTTTTTTTTAATCTTCACCTGAGGATATTTTTCCATTTATCTTCAGATAGAGTGTAAGGGAGAGAGAGAGAACAGAAAACATCAATGTGAAAGAGACACATTGATTGGTTGCCTCCCGATGACCCCAACCAGGGCCAGGGACCGAACCACAACTGAGGTAAGTGTTCTTGGCCAGAACTGAACCTGTGCTTCTTTGGTCCACAGGCTGACACTCTAACCGCTGAGCCAAACCAACCAGGGCTAAACAGAAGATCTCATGCTTCATGTTTGAGGGGACGGTTTCTTTCCTTTTCTTCTAGTGGAAAGGAGCTTCTTGGGCAGTACAAGAAAACACAGTTACATATTAATTTCACATATGAAAAGTTTATTAAAATCTTATATAAATCATTAGCCAACAAATCTAATATCTTATAGTACATTATTAAAATATCATATTACATTGTAAAATATGTTTTAGTATGACACATTATAAATACATAATAGTACATTACAAAAACAGTACATTATAACTATATCATTATTGCCCTGGCTGGTTTGGCTCAGCGGTTAGAGCATTGGCCCATGGACTGGAGGGTCATGGGTTTGATTACTGGTCAAGGGCACGTACCTGGGTTGCAGGTTTGATCCCCAGGCCCTGTTGGGGTTGTGAGGGAGGCAACCAATTGATGTATCTCTTTCACATCGATGTTTCTCTCTCTCCCTCCCTTCGTCCCTTCCACTCTATCTAAAAATCAGTGGAAAAATATCTTTGGGTGAAAATGAACAACAACAAATGTGCATTATTAAAGTGTCATATTTCAGAAATGCTAGGATAGGTTTAACATCAGAAAATCTATTAATACAATTTGACATATTAATGGGCTAGAGAAGAAATAGATTAATTTTTAGACGCAGAAAAACATTTGTTAAGGGCCAATAATGATTTTTTATTAAGAAAAATTCAGAAAGCTAGGCATATAAGGGGACTTTCTTAACATGATAAAAACTATATTTTAAAAACCTATAGAAAATATAATGTTTAGTGGGGAATTCTGGATACATTTTCCTTCCTACCAGAGGCCTTAGCTATACTGCCAGATATAAAAAAGGCACAAGATGTATATATGGTGTAGAAGAGAAAAGATAAAACTGTCACTATTTGCAGATGATAAATCCTCTAGATAGAGAGAAAATCCAAAAGAATAAATAAGGCAAACTATTAGAACTAATAAGAGGTCTAATTATAACTAATAAGATAGCAGATTTTTAAAAATCAACAGCATTCCTCTCATCTATACCAATAATACCAACTAAAGAATATGACAGAGCCCTGGCCAGTTTTGCTCAGTGGTTAGAGCATCGGCCCACAGACCAGAGAGTCCTGGGTTCGGTTCTTGCTAAGGGCACGTACCTCAGTTGCAGTTTGTTCCCGGTCCTGGTTGGGGTCGTGTGGGTGGCAACAACTTGATGTGTCTCTCTCATGTTGATGTTTCTCTTTCTCTCTTCCTCCCTCACTCCCTCCCGCTCTATCTGAAGATAAATGCAAAATAATGTCCTCTCATGAGGATTAAAAAAAAAAAAAAGACAGAAAATTAAGTAATAAGACTGGGGCAAAAGTAGGTTTACAGTTAATCATATGGAAAAGAATATAAAAATAAACAATAATACAAGGGGTCTGGCCAGTGTGGCTCAGTTGGTTGAAGCATCATCCTGTGCACTGAAAGGCTGTGGGCTTGATTCCTGGTCAGAGCACTTACCTAGATTGCGGGTTCGATTCCCAGTTGGGGTTTGGGTATGCACAGGAGGCAACGAATCAATGTTGTTTCTCTCTTTTGCCCTCTCCCTTCCTCTCGCTCTAAAATTGATAAGGATTAAAATAATAATAATATAAAAATAAACTCTATGTTTCACATTTCTCAAAACTGTAAACCTACTTTTGCCCCAGTCTCTATTTATAGTAGCAACAAAAACTATAAATTCTCTAGGAATCAGCTTAACAAAGCTCAAGATGTTTATAGGACTTTGAAATTCTATTAAGTGATGTAAAATAAAATTTGAATAAATTGAAAGACATACTGTTTGTGATTGGGTGACCTAGCATTGTAAAAATGACAATTCTCTCTAAATTAACAAACAAATTTTCAATGTAACCCCAAACAAATTTCCAGATGATATATTTTTTTTTAAGGAGCTCAACAACACTCTAAAATTCATTTAGAAGAATAAAAGCCTATTAAATAAAACAGCATTCTACCAAGATATAATATTTCAAATATGTTACTGGTACAGAAACAGTTACACAGGCACAGGATACAGAGCTCAAAAGGGAATCCAAGTCTTTAGGAACTTGATCATTTAGTAATGGGGTGAGAAAACAGACTCATTATATGGAGAGAAGTGAGGCTGATCTTTAACTTACATACATGCATGTGCATAAAGATGACCTCCAGATGGAGTGAAATCCTGCATGTGAAAGGTAAAACCATAAAGCTATTGGAAAAAAAGCAAAGTCTGGGGTAAGGACAAGGGCTTAAGACTCATCAAACACAAACCGTTAGATGAACTTTAGTGAGTATGGAAATACTCCTGTTCAATGAAGGACTTCCCAACAACATTAATAAATGACAGTTTGAGAGAGATGTTAGCAATGTTTAGACCTGACAATGGATAATGTCAAGAATTAATTAACATCTCCTCAAATCAACGAGGATACATTTAAAAATTTAGAAAAGCAAATAATAAAATGAACAAAAGATAAAAGAGGAAATTATAAACGTTAAAATGGTTAACAAAATTATGATGAGATGGTCAAACTTCCCACTAATTAGATGAAGTCAAGCTAAAACAATTAGCTGTCACTCAACTACATATCAGACTGGCAAATATTAGAAAGATAGTGTTATGTACTGAATTATGTTCTCTTCCTTCCCCTTCCCCCTGAAATTAATATATTGAATTCTTGAATCCTTAACCTCCGATGTGATTGTATTTGGAGATAAGAACTTGAAGGAGGCGATTAAGGTTACATTCAGTCATAAGGGTGGGGCCCTAATCCAATAGGACTAGGGTCCTTATGAGAAGAGAAAGAGACACCAGAATGCATTCTCCCTCTGTGTACACACAGAGGAAAGGCCGTGTGAGGACATGGCAAGAAGGTGGCCATCTGCAAGGCAGGGAGGTTTCACCAGAAAACAACCCTGTGGGAACCTTGATCTTGGACTTCCAACCTCCAGCATTGTGAGAAAATGTTTGTTGTTTAAGCCACTTTGTCTGTGGTATCTTTCTGTAACAGTCCAAATAGACTGGTACAGATGGATACTCTCCAGTGTTGGGAAACATGGGGAGACAGGGATGCTCCTTTATTACTGAAGTGAGTGTAGACTGGCACAGACATTCTAGAATGCAATCTGGCAGTCTTTAGTTGAATTGAGTTTGCATCTGCCCTAGAGCCCAGTCGTCCTTCTGGGTATATCCCAGAGACATTTTCTCACAGGTTCTAACAGGGACACATCCATGGATGTTCATCTCAGAGTAGTTTACAATGGTGAGAAGTTAGAGAAATTCAAGTGTCCATCCCTAGGAAAATGGCCAAGAGGTTGTAAAGTGAATGAAGCTCTCAGCAATCTGAAGCTACAGATGCCAACAGTGTTCATTGAAACCAGTGAAAAGCAATGAGATCTTCCCTGATTGGTTTTGCTAAGTGGTTAGAGCATTAGCCAGAGGACCAAAGGGTTGCAGGTTTGATTCTGGTCGATGGCATGTACCTGGGTTGCAGGTTCAATCCCAGGTCCCAGTCAGGGTCATATGGGAGACAACCAATTGACTTGTCTCTCACATCAATGTCTCTCTCTCTCTCTCTCTCTCTCTCTCTCTCTCTCTCTCTCTCTCTCTCCTTCCCTTCTACTCTATCTAAAAATAAATGGCATCCCTGGCCGGTTTGGCTCAGTGGTTAAAGCATCGGCCTGTGGTCTGGAGAGACCCGGGTTCGGTTCCCGCTAAGGGCATGTACCTTGGTTGCAGTTTGTCCCCGGCCCTGGTTGGTCGTGCGGGTGGCAGCCACTCGATGTGTCCTTTCACATCGATGTTTCTCTCTCTCTCTCTCCCTCCTGCTCTATCTGAACAAAGAATGAAAAAGTGTCCTCCGGTGAGGATAAAAAAATAAAAAATAAAAAATAAATAAATAAATAAATAAATAAAAATAAATGGCAAAATATCTTCAGGTGAGGATTAAAAAAAAAAAGCAATGAGATCTATGTGGCAATACCATTAAGTAAATCAAAACACTGCATGCTTGATCATTCAGAGCTATTTGAAATCTAACTGAATGGAAGTCCTACAATTACAAAATTAAAGAAGTCACATCAAGATAGGGACATCCAGGGCCCATAGCAGACTGCCTCTCCCAACAGGAGGGATTACAGGGGCTTTTTGTAGTGACTTCCATAAATAGAGAGGTAAAAATGGTGGCAGAGTGAATGGAAGCTACATAGACCATCTCCCAGAACCAAACTGAAATTTCAACTAAAATAAACACAAATCATCAGGATAAATAAATAGAAAAACATCTGGAGAGAACCCACATAACCAGGGACAGAAAGAGGACACCAATTTGAGCCTGGTAGGAACTGCAGAGGCTCAAGAGAGGGCAGGCTAAGAGCCCATGGTCAGCAGCTGAGGGTTGTTTAGGTTGTGAGCAATTCCCTTGGGGTTAAAATCTCAAGCTGGCTCCACAGTGCAGAGTGCCAGGACAGAGCACTAAATTAACTATTGCCACTCACCTTGGGCTGCGGCAGAGGGAGGGCATACTGGACTGGACTGTGGTGTGGATGTTATTACGTAGAGGGACTCAGCAGTTTGGGAAGCTGGGAGGGCACTGGAATTTTTGTGCTGAATCATTCACTAATAGGACAGTAGCCATATTACTCAAAGAGCCCCTTCCCAGAGCCCTGGAGGAGAAGCAATGACCCCTCTGTCAGGAACTTAACACCACCCAGCCTGGCCAGAGAAATGCAAATTGAGACTCATTAACAGCCAGCAAGCATCTGCCCCATCCACTGGAAATCTTCTTACCCTGAACACCTGAGGGAGTTTTCATTCAGCTGAGTGCTACAACCCAGGGCTCATCAAGTAACAGAGACTAATATCTAGCAGGCAAGAGCTAGAGGATAATTGAATCTTTGATTGACCTGCAAATCTACCCAGGAAAGTAAGATGTGACAGTGGTGTTTAAAGTGGGTCCTCTGGCCCTGGCCAGTTTGGCTCAGCGGTTAGAGCGTCAGCCTGTGGTCCGGAGAGACCCGGGTTCGGTTCCTGCTAAGGGCACGTACTTCGGTTGCAGTTTGTCCCCGGCCCTGGTTGGTTGTGCGGGTGGCAGCCACTCGATGTGTCCCTTCACGTCGATGTTTCTCTCTCTCTCTCCCTTCCTCCCTCTCCCTCCCACTCTATCTGTACAAAAAATGGAAAAATATCCTCGGGTGAGGATAAAAAAAAAAAAGCTGTGGTACATGTACATAATGGAACACTATGTAGCTGTAAGAAAGAAAGATCTCTTCTCCTTTGAGACAACATGAAGGAACCTGGAAAATATTATGCTAAGAGAAATAAGCCAATCAGAGAAAGACAAATATCACATGATATTATATTTGTGGAATATAATGAACAAAATAAGCTGATGAACACAATTGACCCGGAGTCATAGAAAGGTGTACAGTTCAGACTGACAAACCTCAGAGGAGGGGGTGGGGGGGATGGATGAAATAAACCATAGAACTTATATGCATATATGCATAACCAGTGGACATAGACAACAATCCTGGGGGTGGGGCGGAATGGGGAAGAGGGTGTCTAGGAGGGAAAGAGGAGAAACATCTGTAACAAAAATAATTTAATTAAAAAAACAACAACATTGCATACTTTGCAAGAATTGGGTCATATGTATTTTTTTAGTTAGTTATTTTTAATTCTCACCCGAGGATATTTTTTAATTGATTCTTAGATAGAGTGGGAGGGAGGGAGAGAGAGAGAGAAACATTGATGTGAGAGAGACTCATCAATTGGTTACCTCCCACACAGCCTGGCTGGTGATTGAACTGAGGTGCATGCCCTTGACCTGGAATTGAAACTACGACTCTTTGGTTCGTGGGCCCAACACTCTAATCACTGAGCCAAACCAGCCAAGGCAAGATCTGGACATATTTAAATACATACACACTGTAGTGCCTGCCAAAGAAGACAAAGTGGAAGTGAGAATAATATGTAAAAAAGGAAAATGATATAAAATGAAATAAAAGAGCGACCTTGCCATGATTCATGATAATCATAATGTGGTGTATGAATAATGATAATGAATTGGTGTATGATCAAGTCAACCTCAATTGTCTGTACCTGAGGTCTTAGAAAAAAGGAAGAAAAGAGGATAGGTGACTGACCTGAGGTCATACAGCAAGTCAGTGGTGAGGCCCAGATGATGCCTCCCCCACCCACCCTGTGGCAATGGGCAGAGCATAGGCTTAGCTTACTTCTCACCAGGGCGGACTTGCTGTTTGTGTAGGCCTTGGCCAGGCCAAACCAGGGCTGCTCGTGCAGTGCTGAAGGCAAAGACAGCAATCTGAGGAGGACCAGGAGCTTCCAAAGTGGATGCATCTTGAGTTCTGGGACCTGCAGGTGTCAAGGAGGGTCAGTTGGTCGTGGGGGTGGTCGTTGGGATAGATGGACTCAAGGTTTTCTGTGAGAAGATTACATCAGAGTTAGCCCCAAGAATGCTGTGGGGAGGTGTTGTGATGAACTCTGGAAGCTGCTCACATGGTGAGGGCAGCAAGTAGAATCCTGTGGCAGGGGTGGGGGGCAGGGCTCTAGCTGGAGGTCTTGTTGCTTGGAGATGCCCAGTAGAGTTCACTGTTGGGTCATGCAGCAGGAGTTCTCTCCCAGTCCCTGCAAAGGCTGGATGTTGATGACTCTTCAGTGGATAAATAAATGAATAAATGAATGAGTAAGGATGGCTAATCCCAGGTTTTCCAACTGGACTAGAACTTTCTTAAGGGCAAGAGCATCCTCAATGCCTACCATGATGCTTGTTTGCCAGAAACTAAGTGCTAGTGAATGTTTGTTGAGTGTCTAAATGACAATACATGGATGAATGAGGATGGCTGATCTCTGAATCTTCTACCAGATTATAATTTTCTTAAGGACAGGTGTGAGTCTAATTAATAGTCATGTGTCCAGTGCTTCTTATATTTACCACATGGTATTTACTAATGAATTCTCATGAAATAAAGTGAATGAATGCATAAATGGCTGATGGTTTGTGAATAAAATTTACAGGAGGAGATAGAAAGTCTTGAAGTCAAAGCATCAGGTTTACCTTTTTGCTCTGGGGTTGGGAGTCAGAAATAATTTAGTTCAAATACCCCTCCCTCATCATCTCAAGAAATGACACCACAATTAATTCAGTTGCTCTAGCCCCTTGGAATCCCCTTGAATCCTCTTTCCTCATCCCCTATGACCCATTTGTTAGGAAAATCTGCCAACACTTTCAGAATCTGACCACATCTAACAACTTAGGCACCATCTTGGCCTGAACTGTTGCAGGGGTATCCTAAGTGGTCTCATAGCTTCTTTCCTTGCCCACCTACAATCCCTTCCAAACAGCAGCCTGAGCAATCATTTAAAGACATAAGTCAGACCATGGCACACTTCTGCTCAAAACCCTCCAAAGTTTTCCACTGCAAACAGAGCAAAAGCAAAAATGCATGCAATGCCTCTGGGCCCTGTAGGGTCTCCTGTTGTTCTCTCTGACCTCACTTGCTACCACTCTGTCCCTCACCCACTCTCCTGCAGCCACACAGGACTGGGGAGCCTGGACCCCACAATTCAGCTGCTGTGAACCCTGAGACAAAGGTACTTTTCACTTTCCCAGGCTGTGGAGGATGTGCTTCACAGCATCTTAGGGGCCACCTTGGGCACTTGGCTTCTGGTTTTGTAAGAGATCATAACAACACAGCATCACAAAGTAGAGTAAAGAAATACAGGTTTGGAACCAAGAGACAAAAGCTTAATAAACAACACAGTTTATTTAAAAGAGTAAGTGATATAAGGGATGTAAAATGCACAGAAAATGCAATACAAGAATCAAGGTAGTGACAAGGAAGAAAAGAGGAGGAAAAGCAGGTGGAGAGTGGGTTGAAGTAGTTACCCAGAGTGTTAATTGCTAATGACACGAGGAATGTGAACACTGAATAAGGGTTCATTGGTGTTGGCCACAAAGGAGGTCATAGAGGACTGAGAGCAAGTTATTTTGAGGAATTGGGGGAAGACACCAGACTACCTAAAACTGAGCAGTAGACGAAGGTGAAGAAGTAGAGGCAGTGAATAACAATGTCTTTTGAGAAATTTGGTGGCAAAGGGAAGACAAATGGGGTTATTTAGGTCAAGATAAATATTATCCCATATAAACCCTAAGAAGCCTGAAACACCAATCAGAAAGAATATATGTACCCCCATGTTCATAGCAGCACTATTGACAATAGCTAAGATCTGGAAACAGCCCAAGTGTCCATCCGTAGACGAATAGATAAAAAAGCTGTGGTACATATACACAATGGAGTACTATGCAGCTGTAAGAAAGAAAGATCTCTTATCCTTTGAGACGACATGAAGGGACCTGAAAAGTGTTATTATCCTAAGCAAAACAAGCCAAGCAGAAAAAGACAAATACCACTTGATCTCACTTATTTGTGGAATATAATGAACATAACAGTCTGAGGAATAGGGTAGACCCAGAGACGTGGAAGTAGGGTACAGACTGACAACCCTTGGAAGAGGGGGTGGGGGGAGGGAACAGATAAACCACAGAACTTATATGCATGTATGCATAACCGATGGACATGGTCAACAAAGCCGGGGACGGGGTTGGGGGGATGTGGAGGAGGGTGTCAATGGGGTAAAAAGGAAGAAACATCTGTAACAAAAATAAAATTAAAAAATAAATAAAATAAAACATAAATCTGTAGACTGTTCTTGCCTGAAAGCATTTAGATGATGAGACGAACCCTCTCACTTCACAGTGAGGAGACTTTGGCCAAGAGCAGCGAGCTACCCAAGTTCACAGAAACACTTCAGAAGACATCTCAGACTGGTGTTCAGGAATTTTTGAGATAAAGGCTAAATTAACCCAGGCATCTTCCCCTACCTTTCAAACTTTTGTCATTTTTACCAGATTCACCAATAGCTACGGCTGTTGTTGCCTCTGTCCACAGGGCACTATGGAAGCAGGTTAGTCCACAGTCCAGAGATTTAAAATTTTTATCGTGGGAAGATTATGGGGAGTCAGCACATGGATACTGGTAATTTACAGGAAAATAGCCTCCATACCCAGAGAAGTGGGGCATCTTTGGAACCAGAGTGGGTAATGAAATTCCAGGTAGCAGCAATGAACATGAACATCTATATAAGTGGTGGCTTGGAGTGTGGAGGACATTCCAGAGAGGGGACCAGCAAGCAGGACCTGATTCTTTGTGAAATAATTAAGATATTAGTCAACATTACACCCTTTCTAAGGAGGTTGTAAGCCAGAGCCTTTCTTTTTTCCTATTCTGCATCACATTGGTACTGCTGTCCACTATCCATGGTGCTGAACCACATTCCTGTGTACACCCTTCCACCTCCTATTCCCAGATAATTTCTCTGTTCCCTGATCTCCCTCTCATCAGCTAATATGGATCTTCCTTCTCACCTTGGCCTACTTCATGATACAAGGATGCAAAATATTGCCAGATGCCCTGGTTGGTCAAAAGACATATTTCTTATTTTTAATATTGTCAATTCATTCATATTCACATTCTGGGCGGAAGCAAGTATATCTGTGGGACTTCTGTAATAGATGGCAGCCTAGATGTATTGGTGGGGATAAAATGAGATGCCCTAGGTCTTTCAAGGTTTTAAAACTATCAGTAAATTAGCTTTGTTAGAAATGCACTATCCAATATGGCAACCACTAGCCACATGTGAATATCGAGCACTTGAAATGTAGCTAGTCCAAGTTGAAATGTGCTGTAAGTATAAAATACACAGCAGATATCAAAGACTTAGTACAAAAATAGGAGGTAAAATATTATATTCATAATTTTTATATTGATTACATGTTGACATGATAATACTTTGGATATATTGGGTAAATAAAATATATTACTAAAATTAATATAATCTGCATTTTCCCTTTTAAAATGTCATTACTAAAAATCTCAAAATTACATTGTTTCATGTTATATTTTTATTGGATAGCATTAATTTAAGTATTACATAACTAAACTAATCAACCCAAGGACATAGGTTCAATTGTAGTGTCAGCCACCACCTCTACTGGGGCTGGGGATCGAACCCGCAACTCAGGTACATGCCCTTGACCAGAATTAAACCTGAAACCAACCCCTTGGTTCCTAGGCTGATGCTCTAACTGCTGAGCCAAACCAGCCAGGGCCAGCCACTCAGTGTTTTATGTTCCCTATCATGAACTGTACCTTCCTGGTGGCTCGATCCATCACATGCGCCCTTGTGTTCAGAAAGCATGTGTACAGTTCACTGCAAGCTTATCCTTACCTCTCAGAGGAGGATGCCTCCCTCCCCCATGATGCCTATTACCAGTCACCCAGGGCTTCTCCCCATTGTCTAGAGCACCAGGTCCTTTCCTACTTCTGTATATTTGCACATGCTGTCCTCTGCTTTTAATACATTTTCCCACAAAGAAACTCTTTAAAAATTTATTTTTCTTTATTGATATTTAGAGAGAGAGAAAAGGAGAGGGAGAGAGAGATAGAAATATCAATGAGACAGAACATTGACTGGCTGCCTTCTGCAAGCCCCCCATTGGGGATCGAGCCCACAACCTGGGCATGTGCTCTTACTGGGAATCAAACTGGTGACCTCTGAGTGCATGGGTTAATGCTCAACCACTGAGCCACACTGGCCAGGCCCTACAACGAAACTCTTAATACTGTTCAACATCCAGTTTAAATCCTGCCTTCTCTTGGAAGCCCCTCTGGAAGTTTTCTAGCAGGGCTGCTGAGACTTGCCTCTACATTCACAGAACCTCAACCAGAACATCTTACTGCACATAAAATGGCTCATTGATTTGCCTTATCCCTTACTAGGCTGGGGGCTCTTGAGGTCAGGGGCCAGGTGTGATACATCTTTGTAATCCTGGCACCTGGAACAAAACAGAGAATATGATAAAATCCTTGCATTTACAAAGTCTGCATTCTAGTAGGAGAGGCAGAGAAGAAACAAGTAATAATATAGTAGGAAGTCAGATAGTAATGGAGGCTATGAAGAAAAATGAAGCAGGGAAGAGAGAGACCCGAGATGGTGACACTTAAGCAGAGTGTATTCAGCATAGAATAGTTGCAAATAAATATATAATAAATAAATAATTGCATCTCTCTTTACCTTCAGAAACTCCCTTCCTTTTCTCACCAAATATCATTCTTGTAAAGACACCTCTTATAACTGAACCCCTTCCACACTCAAGCCACATTGCTCTTTCTTTGCTTTGTAAAGGAAAGCTCGATCTACCTCAGGGCTTTTGCACATGCTCATCTTCCTGCCTTTGATGTTCTTTTCCCAGGTCTTGGCATAAATTATGCTTATCA